TCGGCAGAGCCGCTTCGGCTGGCTCCCATTGCGGACCACTGGCAGCTGTCTCTCTCGAGCCCTCGATAGGTTCCCAATGCCCCGAATTGGTCTTCACGCTCTCTAGGTGAGGACCACTCTCTCTTTGGTGACGATCTCCGGGTGGGAGGAATACTCCCCTCGCGCAACGTTTGGTGGGTGAGAGTTTACCCAGCCTGAATATGCTCTCTAATTTTGGGGCTACCCTAGTGGGCCCGTCAGCTCCCAATAGTGTGCAATCGGGTGAGGTCCCCACGCTCCGACCTACCGGCACTCCGCTATCTTACGTCGCACTCTCGGCGAGGTATTGCTAGAGGTCGCCCTCCATGCCTTGGATTCTCGCAAGTATGCTCTCGGTATCCAGGACCGCCGTCTGTTCGCTTATGGTTTCGGTTATTAGACTCGCGTAGTTAAGAAGACAGTTACCGACTAGTCAGTATATCAACTGCGGAGGCGGCTACGTTATTTAAATTCAAATCAATTTGAACATTACGAGGTTACAAAATTATTTAATATTATCAAAGGCAGCAAAAATAACTAAATATCTAATAAAATCCCCGACTTACTCGCAACACAAAAGATCAGGCTGTTCTGGATAACATATAAGAATAAATCAAGTTACAAAATGATAAACAAGTATTTTATGTCATCGCGGCCGGTAAAACGCGTTTCTAACCTCGCTTCGCTCGAATAAAAACGCGTTTTCGGCCACAATGACATAAAATAGCATCATAGCCACGGCGAAAAAAGTGAGTCTGACTCATGCGCGTTATAATCCTCGTCTCCGACTCGGATTATAAAGTCGCTTTCGTCAGATTCCCTTTTTCCGTCCTAGGCGTGAAAAATACTATTAACAAACAAATTTCCTATTACGAGCCGGAAATAATGAGTCAAATTGAGTCAAAAAATAATAAAGTCAAAAGTTATAATCCGTTGATAAAACAGCCAATAGATGGCTAAGTCAAATTGTAGATAATGGGGGAATCGAAATTTAATGCGAGAAACGAGCATGTCCACTAGCACAGTAAAAAGAAGCGAGTTAAGCGATTAAGAGGGGGAATGTCTCGCAAGAACGTAAACAAACGCCGCTAGTAACCGAGAGGATTACCTGCAACATACAAATCTCGAACGTCGACAGACGCTACAATCCCTCTTCTAAGTGCTACAGAATGAAATGTAATATAAGCTATTTAAATCGGAAAATATTTGCGGCTACATAGGTCACAATGTATAAGTGAATGAAAGAGTAATAATAAGAATTATCTCGAGATTCGAGTATTTCACCGGACAAACGAAAATCGATGATGAGGCGACAATAAATTCGAAATAAAATGTAGGAGACAAAAGCGTCGTTACAAGTATCATTTGAAACCTCAGTTCTTTACAAATACAGAAAAATCCGAAAATTAACCACAAATAAAAAAAATACAAATTCAATAAATCTCCAGTAACTCTACCGAACACGTTAAAACAAATCTAGACATCTGAACACTAAGACTAGAAAATGGCGTCAAGTGCCATGGACCATGAGTTCAATCAACTGACAAAAATCATAAAAATTTGAAATTTCTTATAATTGCTGTCAAATGAATCACTCTAAATGAATTTATCCACCGCCCACCGATAATCCAGTTCAACGAGTTCTGGGAAAGCAGCAAAGAAATTCCTTGCCGCGGTACTAGTTCCCTCGGTGGTCTTCCTCTCGATAAAATAAATTTCACAGAATCCGAATTAGTGGTTAACTAAATTTTGCTGTTAGCAGCCAGGCGTCTAAACGAGAGGTGTTTTTAATGGCAGACGATAACGCTCAACAGGTGAGGAAACCATCTATCACATGATTGGTTCGTCATTGACGTGAGAAATTTTGTAATTGGCTGCCCATGAACGTAACTAGTCAAGTTAATGTTTCATCTTTTGATAAGTCGATCTGACACACAATGAGCAGAAACTCATCGGGACTCTTCAGGCCAATATAATAATAATAGTCTTGGTCCTGTTAATAATGAGCCTCATAGTTATACAAAACAATTTCGCCTAGTTACTAATTTGGAGTAAATGAATTTCTAGTTCCGGACGCTGGCGCCAACACTCAGCTGTTCCAGGAAGTTCCCCCAATCCGGCGGGAATTCCCAACTCCTTCCCAAACCTCCTCGCGTTCTCCAACAAAAGAGAGTCATATGACAGGATCCAAAATCCCACGATAAGTTCGAGGTACGTGGTGAAACATGACTGGATGTAAAGGAGATAATAATAACCAACATAATATCAATCGATTCAAATAACAAATACTCTTGCCTCGCCAATAGTTACTTCTCGTGTGGACATCTCATAAACCGATAAACGGTCGAAAACAAAAATATCACGTTACAACGTATACTCGGATATATACGAACCCTATATAATCGCCGATGTGCACACTCCACTAATGCGTCTTGTACCATTGGATATTGAGAATTATAAATACGGGGGATGAAAATGAATTTTACATTACTACGCACGAAATTTCAACCTATCGAGATAGAGATAAGGGAAGAGTATGGAACACGGATAACATTTGAACACGGAACGTTAACTGTAACATTTCATTTCAAGCGCAGCGAACAGCACTGGATTATAAACACCTACAATTTTCGAGGAGATACCACAATCGAGGGAGGATACAGCACTGGTGCACATGGCAGTATAAGTCGAGTGTACATAGGTAGCGCTACTCAAAAAGAGCATTGTATTCGTAGTTTCCTAGGTGGTGGGTTAAAAATAATACTACTGCCAATAACTAAAATACTACCCCTGCTCAAACAAGGAGCATCAGCTGTTGGAAGTGAGGCTCTGCGCTCCGGTATGAAATCATAAGTGAGGTTCTTGATACCACTGAAGAATTCTTTAAGAAATCGTACACGGGAGTCAGACGACAATTTAAAGAGGAGCGCCGAAGAGAAACTTGATACGTTGAGCACTGGTTCGGGATATAACACTCGAAATATGTTATCATACTCTTATTCTACGGTTGACCGTGTTCCGCGACAGTCTAAACAGCCAAAGTTAATATCTGGGTGTCGCAGGAAGGAGAAACCACGGGTGATGAAAAAATGAAAAAGAGGAAAACTACAAATAATCCTTCAAAAATTCAAGGACGAAAGAAGAAGAAATTGACGAAATGACGTGTAGTAGCGGACATTTTCACGTAAATTGGCGTGCTTACATACTCATTCATGTGAGGGCGTGAAAAGTGAGTTGGACTGATTTTCTTTACTACCAACGCAGGCAGCCATCGAGTCCTTATACTATGTACACTCTAAGCCGATAGCATCACTCGTGAATAATTCACCCATCGTGTTTGATATACCCGGAACAAGGTGATGAATACATTGAGTTAGCGCACTACGAACGGCCCTGTCAACAATTTATTACACTCATTATTCGATCAAGTGGAAATCTCCTTCAATCAGAAACCCGTGACACCTGCCAACAATGCATACGCTTATCGCACGTGTATAGAAACACTTTTAAATTATAGCAGTCAGACACACAAGCGGTCCGTTGTCTAATTAAGGCATAGCCAAGCTCCAGGTAGCTCGGAGCAGAGTCATAAAATCGAATTAGAAATCCAAGAAAGGTTATAACCATGCCAAGTATAATGGTCCTAGTATCATTCTAGTCCCCTAGTGGGGACATTAGTCGGGAGTCTCACAGTTACAGTATCAGGGAACGTCCCATGATGGGTCTGCCAAATGGTAAAGTGAGACAAATAACTGCGGCGATAAATAAAAAAAGAAATGAAAAAATCCAAACCTGGACAAAAATATTTTCGGAATAGAATCATGTGTGGATTCGTTGAAGTTCTTAGACATGTTCTGTTGACACTTGACGTGAACTTAGAGGAAGAAAATGATTGCTTTTGCCATCTATGTGAATCAATTAAAGTTTGCGAAGTTTTCCTTTGTATTTCGTCAAGAAAAACCATTGAAGGGCGCTAAAGGGCAATATTATTTAAAACGCATCTGCCAAGTTTACTAAAAAATAATTTTAAAAATACGTACCAAACCCCCCACTGGATCGAGTAATAGTTATAGGCAATTTGTAACTCTAACCACCGCACTCTCTTTCTCTCTCCTTCCTGTCGCTCCTACTCTGCTCATCGGTGGGAGTCCTGTATATTTACTAGAAATAGAAACAATGTTCGGTTTCTACTTAAGGTGCACAGACACAGGCTAGACCCATTATGTGAAACATATTGTAGGAAAACGGAACAATTAGTATAATCAATGGGGTCTACCTATTAGATGAGGAATATAAAGAATGTCTACGTAGAGAGCGTTAACAATTGTAACACTTTTCCTGATCTCGTCCCGAAGATCGAGGATACTCATTACTCTCATCCATTCCCATACTCGCATCTTGAAGTTTTAACCAGACTGATGCGAGCGCCAGCTAGCTTTTTATGGACCAAAAACTAACAAAAACCCGAAAAGAACCGAAATGAAGGAAAAGTGAAGGAGTGCCCTGCCTTAGCCCAGGTCAGTAAACCTCGTGAAGTAAAAACTAAAATCTTAAATCCAAAAATATCCAAAAATAAGAATACAAAGGGATAGGACGAGTGGAGTTGGAGCTCGCCTTCGCGACAACATACAATCAGTAAGTCTGTAAAATCCATAAATCCAAATATGAAGACGATAATCTAAAAACCACCTGCGAGAAACTAATCCCGATGACGAACGGACCGGAAGCGGGAGAGCCTGGGTTGCCCAGATTGTCCTCACGCGGACAGATCGAGCAATTTGTGGGAACATGCAGTTTAATGTGCGGGATTTCTGAAAAGCCGGTTACACAATTTATAATCATATGGAATACTTTCAGACACGAGACATAATATTTCGTTGGTTTTTATGTTTATGCTACATATAATTATCAGAGGAAAATAATGTAATTTGAATCCCAGATTTTCATGTTCGAACATTAATTTTAATCTTTTCATATCACAGAGAATAAAACCCTGCGCACTGTTACGGAGAGGAACTTCATGTACCAGACAATCAGCAATGCCACATTTTCGGTGGATACTTTTTTTTTCATCAGGTACGTTTAGTTGATTTAAATTCTATTTAATCATGTGATTAAGCCCAAGCCGCAGCGACCGTCATTTGATTTAATCAACTAAATGACTTGATTACCACCAGATCATTTATTCGCGTGTGTTCTATCATGACTTCTGTATCGAAATCGGGGCCTACCATGGCAACTTGACCAGCCCATAACCTGGACCCCTCAGATTTTGAGAACGATTTTTCTGAAGTTGAGCTAACTGAAAGAGCACTTTCAATTTTTTTTTAAATTTTTCTTACATTTTATGTTTTTTTTTTATCACGCTGAAAGCTAGAAAAGAATCCCATGCACATAAAATCGGGAAACATTCAAAAGAAAAAAAATCGGATTATTTTCTTATAATCTATTAGAACATGGTGTTAATGATGGGGAAGCCCAATAAATTGAATAGGCTGACTCCTATATTGTGGAAGAAATTAAATTTTTCCAAATCTATGATCCTATACTTCCAGAGCCACTTGATTTAAATCCAATAGGAATTCTAGTCTGTCATGATTTTGTGATTTGTGATCAATTTCAACCTAAAACGGCCGCAGACATAGGAATAAATTTGAAACAAAAAATGTTTTTTAAGAACAACTGCATAAAGTTGGTTCCATATTTTTTATTCAGTATTTCCATTATTTAAGGAGATATTTCAAGATCTAGGCAGAGTGCAGTTGTGGAGACCGTAATTTTGACGTAATAGTGAAGGTCTCTTGGCTTCTTTGAGATAGCTAGCAATCTTTCCCTTCTATATATGTAAGTGAAACATGTATGTAAGTAATGCAAGTAAAAAGAATATGGAACCAAATTAATACAGTTTTTCTCAGTAAAGATTTTTCATTTGAGGTTTTTGTGCATATTTGGAGCCGTTTCATCTCGAAATTAATGTCGACCTACATATATGTACGTGAAAGAGAGCCAGCTACATCAAAGTAGCCAACAGTCCTTCTATATTACGTCAAAATCACTGTCTCCACAGCTTCACTCCGTATGAATCATGACCTATCTCCGTAAATAATGCAATAACGAAAAAAAATATGAACCAAATTTGTGCAGTTTTTCTCAAGAAATATTTTTTTTTAACTTCCTGTTCTATAGAAAGTTATTGTAATGACCCCGAAAATCAATATGGAAATTTTCAACATATCTTCACGTTTCAAGGCCTCCAGAGTAATCCTGGACCATTTTCGAGAGGATGTATGTGTGTGTGTGTGTGCGCGCGCGCGTGTGTGTGTGTGTGTGTGTGTGTGTGTGTGTGTGTGTGTGTGTGTGTGTGTGTGTGTGTGTGTGTGTGTGTGTGCGCGTGTGTGCGTATTGTACTGGCGATGTACGTGGCCGAAATTTATCGTCAACGATTTCTCAAAAATCGATGATGCGATCGAAGTCAAATTGATACCATCGAAACGTTTTCACGCCATTTGGTGCTGATTAGATTATAGAAGGAATTGCTCCAGCCGTTTTCCAGTTTTTCCAGAAAAACTGCGAAAAAGGAAATTTCATCAACGATTTCTTGTCCGAAATTTATCGTCAACGATT